ATATGTAAAACTAAATTTAAAAATGGAAACTAATATGTAAAACTAAATTTAAAAATCGAAACTAATATGTAAAACTAAATTTAAAAATGGAAACTAATATGTAAAACTAAATTTAAAAATCGAAACTAATATGTAAAACTAAATTTAAAAATGGAAACTAATATGTAAAACTAAATTTAAAAATCGAAACTAATATGTAGAACTAAATTTAAAAATGTAAATTTACCAATCCTTAACTAAATTTTAATACCTTAAATTCTTAACCAATTTTCTTTTTTTAAAGGCAAGAACCCTTAAAATGTCATCCTCTTCATCTGATGAAGTGGAAGAAAGACTGGAGGAAATATTCGACGAAATACTCGAAGATACATACGACGACATACTGGAGGCTCAGCAACATAAGTCAAAGAAACGTGCTTACATAGAACGGAACCGTGAAGCCGGACACAACCGTTTATGGAATGACTATTTTAGCGAAGAAGCGACATTCTCGTCACATCTATTCAGACGTCGTTTCCGCATGAATAAGGACTTATTCTTGCGTATTGTATATGGCCTATCGGAGTACATTCCATTCTTTAAACAAAGAAGAGATGCAACCGGGAGGTTTGGTCTTTCTCCACTACAAAAATGTACGGCAGCAATTCGTATGCTTGCTTATGGTTCTGCGGCTGATACGGTAGACGAATATCTCCGACTTGGTGAAAGCACTGCACTTTCATGTTTACATAATTTCACTAACGGAATTATTCAGTTATTCGGAGATGAGTATCTACGACGACCGACACCGGAAGATCTTCAACGACTACTCGAGATTGGAGAGAAACGAGGGTTTCCTGGGATGGTTGGGAGCATTGACTGTATGCATTGGGAGTGGAAAAATTGCCCGACTGCTTGGAAAGGACAGTACGCACGTGGATCGGGAAAACCGACAATTGTCTTAGAGGCTGTAGCTTCACATGATCTTTGGTTTTGGCACGCTTTCTTTGGACCTCCAGGTACATTAAATGATATCAATGTCCTCGATCGGTCTCCCGTGTTTGATGACATTTTAGAAGGTCGAGCTCCCGGGGTAAGGTACGTGGTCAATGGACATACGTATAAGTTGGCATACTACCTCACAGACGGTATATATCCAAAATGGTCAACATTTATCCAATCTATCTCACTTCCTCAATGTCCTAAACAAGAGTTATTTGCTAAAGTTCAAGAATCAACCCGAAAAGATGTGGAGCGGGCTTTTGGAGTATTGCAAGCTCGATTTGCAATTGTGAGAAACCCCGTTCTTACATTGGATAAACAAAAGATAGGGAAGATTATGAGAGCATGTATCATACTACACAATATGATAGTTGAAAATGAACGAGATGGGTACATGCAATACGATATATCTGAATTTGAAGGAGACGTCGCTAGGAGTTCACAGGTGGAAACCGAAAGGCCTACAAATTTGAATAATATGTTTGAAGTTCGCAATGATCTTCGTGATAAACGTATGCATGAACGATTGAAAACTGATTTGATCGAGAATATTTGGAACAAGTTTGGTGATGAAGATTGATAATTATTGTATTTTTTATTTTTAATCGTTGTATCTTTTTTGTTTTAATCGTTGTATCTTTTTTTTTATCATTGTATCTTTTTTTAATCATTGTATCTTTTTTTTAATCATGCAATTAATGAAATTTTAATTTTAATTTTAAAAAAAAAAATTAAAAAAAAAAATATTTTTTTATTCCTAAGGACTCCACCTTCGAAAACACCATTGGACACATACTTTTACTCCCAATCCTTAACTATTTAAAAAAAAAAAAAAATAATAATAATAATACTAAACTAATCCTAAGGACTCTAGGGTGGAGTACACCATTGCATGTGCTCTAAGTTTTGATACTAAAAAATATTTATTAAAACACAATGCTAAAAAAATTGTAGCTCCCCATGATACTTATAAGAAAATACGTGATGTTAAGTTTCGTTGAAGTGAGTTCTGTTCCACATCTAAAAAATAGAAAAGAAATTGATGATGTATGTATATACATGATGATGTAGGTGGGATCTCGATGATCCCATGGATGGCCAACCAAATTATTTGAAATTTGTGGTTAAATTTATATTCGATACTTTCCAAGAGTTTGAAAGAGAAGTGGCATCAGAATTAGGAGGATCTTACAGCTTAAAAGCTACAATTGAGGAGGTAATCATACAGTATTTTTTTTCCTGTTACTATAATATAATGCATGTGCTAACGAGAATGACTATGAATATCAAATGATAATTGAAGAACGTAATATTACAATGTTTACATTTTGAGCATTGCAGTTCAAGAGACTCACGAGAGCCAATCTCCAACTCGCTAAATGGGCAGAAGCGGGTCATGTCCCTAGTTTTGACGAGTATCTAAAAGTTGCTGGAATCGAGATTGCTGTGGATTTTACTTTATTTGGTATTTTGGTGGCTATGAAAGATATCTGCAAGGAAGAAGCGGTTGCGTGGTTGAAATGTAGAAACAAGCTTGCGATATTAATGCATACAGTAGGAAGAGTGAGGAATGATATTTTTGGCTTAAAGGTACCAATGAGGGGAAGCTAATATTCTGTTCTAGTAATTCATATATTGTTTATTTGATAATCAAACTTACGTACATGTGTGACACTGATTAGGATGACATGAGCAGAGGATATGTCACGAACTCGATAAACTGTTATAAGAAGCAATATGGAGTTACAGAAGAAGAAGCAATTAGAAAGCTTCATGAAATTGTGGCAGACGCTCATAAGATGATAAATGAGGAGCTTTTGAAGCCAATTAATGTGCCACGCAAAGTTCTAAACGCAATGGCGACCTGTGGACGTATGGTGTTTGTTAGCTACGAAACAGATGATCAATATACCCGTCCTGGTGGAAAATTCAAGAACGACATCACTTCTATGTACCTTGATCTTTGAGGCCTTTGCAGGTTATATCCAATTTTATGTGTGGTCGTTTCTTGTAGTTTATAAGTTTGGTTGTAACTGTTAATTGTTGGATACGATTGGAAAGTTTACTTTTACAAAAAAAAAGAAAAAAAAAATTGCAAAGTTTTTATTTTCGTTTCTAGAAATTGTTACTTACGGTTAAAGTAGGAACTAGTAAGTTTGGGTGTTTTCTTAATGAGAAACATAAATTTCAAAGTACTTTCTCTTGTTCTTTTGTCCAAGTTTCTTTATTTGCTTTAATAAAAACTTATACATCTAATCTATTAAAATAAAAGTATAAATTTAAATTAACCATTAAACTTGCACAATATTGCCACTGATAACTAAGTTAATCTACATTTAAGTAATTATTGTATTTTCCTATTTTATTAAATCATTTCCTCAATCTAATTTAGCTAAATCTTTTTAATCAATAAATTTTCTAAAATAATTTAGCTAAATTTTAGAAAAAATTAAATTTAAAAACCTTTTTAATTATATAATATAATATTTCTCAAATATCATTAAAAATTAACACATTTAGTCTATAAGGTCTAAAATATATAAATTTTAAACTTTTAAAAATATATGTTTAACCATTATCATTAATTATTTTAAATTGAGTTGCATGTGGGCGGTTTTGAGCGTCCTCACTGAGTAATTTTGTATACTCGTGCCTCCTTTTTGCCGATGCAGGTAAGGTTGATTATGTGAATCGGAGCGCGAGGCTATAAAGATTATCGGTAAAGAGTGTTTTAAATTGGAGTAATGTTTTAGGAGTATTGATCAAACCAGCTTATTGTAACAGTATGGATTTTAAGTAATTGGTTTCGGATTTCGTTGACAAAGTTACAGTAATTCTTCGTATTCATCCGATAAAATTGGTCAGATTTTACTTAGAATTTTCAATGTGTTTTTCAAAATATTTCCGGGTCGGGGTGTTTCAATTTGGTATTAGAGCGGGGTTGGCCAGCCAGTTATGTCCTGGCTGGCTGTTTTTCGAAATGGGATTTGTGGGTAAGGGTGGAAAAGAACTGATGGTCTATATCTCGCGCGATGGATGTGTTGTGTGATTTTGCTAAGGTATTTCTTGGTATGTGTTTATGATTGGACTGTTCTGTAAATGGCTAAGCAAAATTGTGTTAAAGAGTTTGCAGAAAGTTTGTAAAATCTAACTCAAGTCTTATGAAGTATATAAATTTTTCGAATGGTAGGCAAGGAAGGTATCAGGTTGGTTCAGCCAACAAAGGTAATATGTTTAAAGTCGTGTGTGATGGAGTAATAAGATATGTCAACGTTAGGAGATGAGTAGATAGGATGATAGAATGTACAAAGCAATAGTCGGCATGGATTGATGGTTAATGACCGGGCTAGCTAGAGCTGTTAAAGATGCTGAGATAAATCTTACCGAGAATGAAAGAAGATAATGTCTCCTAGAATTATGAAGCGTTGGATGATCGTATGGCGGTGTAGCACACTTATGGGAAGCTGAATGGATCAACGAAAGTGCAACAAAGACGCGTGTGTGGCAGAGGTCTTGGTGGAACGTGCTACCATTGATACACAAGCTGGACACAAGGACATAGTCGATCTACCTGTTAGGGGCGTGGTTGTGAAAGCCAAACTTTGTTCGACTATAGAAGTTGCATTCCTTGTAGGGCATGAAGTTGTCAGTAACATAAGAATGGGTTAGAGGAAGAGATCAGATTTGGTCGGACATCATACATGGAGATTTGCAAGCCGCATGTTATTTATCAAGATGTTTCAATGATGGTGGAGTGTATATAACTTTAATAGTTTGATCGTGCTACTAGATAAATGGTTCAAAGAAGCACTTGGAATGGACAAGTTGGATCAATGTCGAGTTAACTAAATTGAACTATCAGGGTAGCGCAACAAAAAGAAGGAAATATGGTAATTTAGAAAAATGGAGAAACAATTTGATGTTTCAAAAGTATCAATAATAAGAACGAAGCAGATGATCGAGAACAAGTACAAATTATTCTTAAGACCGTCACAGAAACATAATTTTAGCAGAGAGAGGTATTGACTAGATTTCAATATGTGTAGAATGGTGATAGAAGCAGGATTTTCAAGGAAGTTAAGTAAGGCGAGTTATCTTCTTCTTTTTTTGTCAACCTCCCATATAAATTAGATCAAGTGGTGGTCAGACGAGTCGATTCTCCGAGGAGCACCTCCGTCTGACCGGGTCTGATATATATGGGAAAAGAAATAGCCTCTGATCCTTTCTTCTATTGTTAGTGCGTCCGCTCGACCACTCATATTCCGAGGAATATGAGACAAAACTCACATCCTCGAAATCCTCTTGTAATCTTTGGAACACTTCGATCTCTGTCGTGAAAGTTGGCTGATCCTCAGGGTTTGTATTCATGTCAACTAAGTCCAAGCAGTCCGTCTCAAACCGTATCAAAGTTATCCTCATGTCTCACATACATGATGCTGCCCAAAGTAAACCTTCCATCTCAGCATGCAAATCTGAAAGGCTCCTTTTACACGCACGTAATCTGAAGACTTCAGAATCCATTTGATCCTTAATACTCCATCCTAAGCCACTAACGCTGCCATTATCGATCCATGACGCATCAATTTGGCATGTAGGGATTCGAGGTATTTAAGGGGGCGCTATCTCAACCTCTGTAGGGTTGCCATGATCCTTGTTTATCTCCTCCTTTTCATTTTCTTTCCTCCAACATTCTGCCTCAAGAGACGCGTGTTGGAGAGTGTCAATCGGGAAAACAACTTTCCCATTAAAAAGTTTTTCGTCCCTCGCCTTCCAAATGTACCAACAGATCCATGGGAAGGTATCGAATGGTGGTCTCAAAGGACCCACCTCTTTTCTCTCCCAAAACAGAAAGTTCATGTTTTGGTATATAGATGTACTCGGGAAGTCACCCGGAAGGGACGGATAGTCCGATAAAGTCCAAACCTGCAGGGCTGGTGAGCATTCAAAAAGAAGATGATTAATCGACTCCACTGGGCCAGCACATTTAGGAAAACTCCTATCGGTGCCTAGGTGTCTATAAGTAAGTCGAGTTATCAGAAGAACGTAAATTGGGTTCGCGAGTGCAGTGTCTGAGGAAAGCGTTGGGCGGGATCAAGAAAATGTTATGATCATTACAATTAGCCAAGGATGAAGAATTCAACACGATCACAAACCTGGTTGGATGAGTGGGTAAGAATCGCCGTTAGTAAAATTATATTTAAGTTGATTCAACCATTCAATAGTTTAACGCCAAATTATGTGAGGTATGGTGGATGACATGCATCAAGGAAAGGTTTGTGGTTCATGAAGAGTGCATTTAGATATGTTGGTGTTAGTGAAGTTCAGTTAGGATTAGTTTTGCATGGATACATCTAAGACTAGAATTAATTTATTTATGAATGTGATGTCGCATGTTTGTCCTGACGATTGTGGAAACAAAAGGATTGCATTCAGCGCTGAAAAGATTGTGAATCAAGGGCGATTCAGATAATTGGAGTGCATAGAGTGAAGAATCAGGTGATCGATAAAAGATAGTATCTGCACGGAAAATATGTGTCAGCCCTGCATTTTGAGATCCACGATGCAACCTAGAAGAAGCATTTGTCGTCAGCATATTCGATTTCATTATTATAGGTGACTCAAGTATTAAAATGTTCCAGTTAGACCATTAATGTTGGACCAAAGTAGGGGAGGAATGAAATCTTAAGATATAAGTTATCGAGGAGAAGTGGAATGGAAGAAACTTAAATATCAGATCCAATAAGCGGTTAAAGTGCGTGGAAGCAAGATACATTCAGCAACTCCAGAGTTGTTCAGTTTTTGTTTATTTTGGCAGTTGGTCGAGACAAAATCCGAGGACGAATTTATTTTAAGTGTGAGAGAGTTGTAACGACCCGCTCCCGGAGTATTTTTAAATTTTAAGGAAATAAATAGTGAAAGGTTTAGTTCAACAAGGAGTCTATTTTTTTAAGTGTGGAAAAACATATATCCATGAAGGTTGGAAGAATAAGTTGTACATTGACTAGTTTTGGATCATTAGTGAGCTTATGGAACGAAATTGAAATGGTCTGAGTGATTGTAAAACGATCAAATGATTGGAGCATACGTAAGGAAATGTCGAGACCGCATGGCTAAGTAATGAATGTTTGGCTGCTGGAAAATGTAGGTTCAAACTAAGGAAAGTTTGACTAGTCATCATTGGGGAATTTTATGGAAGAAAGATCAGGATAACGAGATTCATATAAGGAAAGAAGCGCTGTAATAGCTTGCTTCTCGGTGGCTCGCACCCCCGGGTGGTGCGCTGAGCCAGAGTGGGCTCAACAGTCGGCCTATGTTTCCGGGTGCACGCGTAAAGGCATGATTAGTTCCACAAATCTCACTGCACTGACCTTAATCGAACGAGCTAGAGGGTAAAATCAATCCAATCGATGCATTCCTACTTTTCACTTGGATGACAGTCTCTACCCTGCTCTTCTAGCACATTCTGGAGGGCGATCCACTAGATTCAAAACAGGAACGGATAGAGCTTCCTTAACTAGAACCAATGTTCGGAAACGCGCTAGGCGCTAGTCGGGCGGTTGGCATGGGCCTAGCGATTTAATAAAAAATCGGGGATTAATCGGGGATTAATCAAAAATCAGTTCTAAGTGTTTTTTAAATTTTTGGATGAAGTTACTATATTATTTAACTTACCGGAAACAAAACAACGGTGATGTTATGGTCTGGTGGTATAATAAAGTTGATTTTGACTTATTACATCAGAGTTCAAGTCTACCAGACTGATTTTTAATACTTTTTGTGCTTTTAGTTTAATGAGGGGCAGTATCGTAAATAATCTGTCATCTTCCCCACTACATGTTTAGGTTTTCTGCAACTTTTTTATTTTTGCCGTCAGCCAATGTTTATTAAAAAAGCACCAGATTTACGAATTATCTTGTTGTTTTGCATCAAATTAACAAGTTGTAACTTGTACTTGTAATACTCAGGTAAAAATGTTCAAAACTTCAAAAAAATGACTTTTTTAACAGAAACCGATTTTTTGACCGACTATGGTGTATTCGCCGCGGTAAGCCTCCGCCGAGCGTTCCGGCACCGCCTAATCGGTCTCTACGGCCGCGTTTTCGAACAGAGACTAGAACCTACCATCAGGCTAGGTACGAGAGAGACTGATCCATCAGCAGAACTCCTCGAGACTTATCCAAGAAATCAGGGAGAACTCCTACTTATGGAATGATCTAGATTTGAATGAAGAGATAGATTCGTCAGACAGAGAAAGAGGAGCGCTAGTGGACACGGAAGGGATCAGGCGAAACGTGTCGTTCGTAATGGAAAGAAAGAGACCACTACTTCGCCTCTGGACCGCCGGCGCGAACACAGTGGTCTCTGATCACACTCGAAATTATGTATATACTTATCATATTTTTACCCCTGCTCGGTAGTTCCGTAGCAGGTTTTTTTGGACGTTTTCTAGGATCAGAAGGAAGAGCTATTCTGACAACTACGTGCGTTTCATTCTTCGCACTAGTGGTATGCCTATTTTTTTATTTAGAATTTATTACTTTCGTTTGAAAGGACCACTGAGGGGGATTAAAAAACTGATTCAACGAGATATAGATATGTCCCCATTAAGATTTCAAACTTGTCGTCTACTTTCAGGAAATGTTCGGAACAGAGAACTGACAATAATACAACGTCGCATTCTCCGAAGATTGAGGAACAGGAAGAGATCTATTAAGAAGAGAAAGATTTATCCGAAAAAACATCTTACCAGTTACATACAATTACAAACTACACGAAAGTTGCCCCTTTTTCATGGGGATTTACCCATCACAGAGATGCACAGAGGAACAAAACGAACTTCATATATCCCTTTTCCACTCAATCCAGAAACAAGATTTGACGTTATTCCTCTTCGTCTCCATTTTCTTGAAACTATTCCTCAAGCAAGGCAGCCGATAAGTCATCGAAGGGTTTCTGTGAATAAAGGAATGGTAAGCATTACTCATTTGAAACTTTCCCATGGTGATATAATATTTTTTCAAGAAAATAACGCGGTGAAGAATTAAGGAGATCTTTCTTGTTGGGGTCAAAATCGGTACGACGGAATTAATAGCCAAAACTTTCCGCAAGAATACAAAAAGAACAGTTTTATAAATCTCAAAAATCGTTTTATAAAACTCGAGAAATCGTTTTATAAAAGCTCGAGAAACCGTTTTATAAAAGCTCGAGAATCGTTTTATAAAACTCGAGAATCGTTTTATAAAACTCGAGAATCGTTTTATAAAACTCGAGAAATCGTTTTATAAAGCTCGAGAAATCGTTTTATAAAGCTCGAGAATCGTTTTATAAAACTCGAGAATCGTTT